TCACATTCACCCCGGACACTGGCGTGGGTTGGGACGGAGCTGATCGGGCGGGCCTGCAGGTCTACACGGACTCGAGCTTTGCGCCCGGAGGAGCTCTATCACATGGTTGCGTGATGGTGAAGTGGCAGGACTCCGTGATCGCGTGGAAGTCTAGCAGACAAGGATTTCCGGCGTTGAGTACAGCCGAGTGTGAGCTCATGGAAATGATCGAAGGTGTGGTGATGGGGGACGCGGTTGGACGTCCTCATCAATGAGATAGAGGAGGGGGAAGAGTATATGCGGTACCTCGATCTTCGGAGACAATCAAGCAGCGATTCAGCTGTGTGCAGAGAGCACGGGAGCTTGGCGCACACGTCATCTTCGCCTACGTGCATTTCATCTTAGGTGGAGGATCCAAGCGGATGATTGGCGAGTCCGGCATCTGCCTGGAGTTGAGATGATCGCCGACGTGGGCACCAAGGCCTTGACAGGTGCGAAGCTGAAGGAGCTCATGAAGTTGATGGGTATGAAGGCGAGAGGAGAAAGTGAAGAGGACATCGAGAGATCGGTCCTGGCAAAATTGGAGGTGAGCAAGTGCCAAGGGTTGGTGGCGGTGTTGGGCTGCTGCATGCAAGTTCAAGGTGCAGTTGCCATGGAGGAGAAGCCTGAGGAGAAAGATGGTGGTGGAAGCTATGACCACCTAAAGGTCTTTGGCATGCTGGTGGCAGTGTTCACGGTCGCGGTGATGAAGCTGCTGGAGTTGCTGGCGGCGAAGGCGCAGGAGCGATGGGGTGGACCGAGGGTCCAGAGCATGCGAGTAGAGAAGGTCGAGGAAACGGAGGAGGTGGCTGCGTCATCGTCAACGACTGGAGGGTCTTCTACAAGGAGGACTATGTGGGGCGGGGCCATACCGAGGCCTTCTTCTTCGGTGGCAGAGGAGCCGAGCTCTATGACAAGACGACCATCTTTGACGAGATTGGATACGGGATCTGGGCCGGATCCGGTGAGGTCCTCATCCGAGGCCGGGACTGGTTCGGGCGAATTGGGGGCTACAGCCAAGAGAACAACGGCGGCGCCACCTATGGCAAAGGGAATGGGAAAGACGACTACGGAGCGAGGGTGTCAGCGACACGGAATGTGGATTGGGTCGCGGTCACCAAGGGCTACTCCAAGGGATACAGCAAGGGGTACAACAAGGGCTACAACAAGGGCACGGGCAAACAGGCGACAGATCCTGGCAGGGACCTACGGCCTTGGTCGGAACCCCAGGATCGAGCGGAGCCGGTGCTGATGTCAACCCAGCATCGAGGGCCGCAGGGAGTGGTCACCAAGGCACTCCCGAGCCTGAGTCGGAGGACGATGGAATCCCGGTGGAGCCTAGCGTGTTCTACACCATGACGGGCGAGAAGTACCATGCCCGCGAGAACTGCTACGGCTTGAGGAGGGCAGCTCGGGTCATGGAGACCCTGCCGTGCCCGGTATGCACCACCCCGGATTTCAGGAGGCTGCTCTTCGTTCATCCGGGAGCAGTGCACATCACAGGAGATGGCCTGTGGCATGTGCTGTCGACGTGCGCGGGGCGAGGAGTGACCTACTGGCCCTGCGCGAATTGCAGGAGAGGAGAGGTTCAGCGCGGCTTGAGCTAGCCCCGAAAAAGGGGGGCGACGTTTTGTCTTAGCCCGAAAAGAGGGCAACGTTTTGAGCAGTGCGAGCCTATCGGCAAGGCACTGGGAGGAGTCTAGGAATATCTGGAAGCCGTTTGTGTTCAAGAAAAAGGCGCGTAGCTGAAACCTGGGTTTACAATTATAATTAACACAGATGGCTTCCCCGAAATGACCTACCTGTTTTGGGGCAACTGGAAGAACTGGACATGGGCGCTGGGGGTCTTTTGAGTTGGTACTGCGCCCCGGTTGGCAGGGCCAGCGGGCCAACTTCTTTGCGGGCGGGCTCTGAATGAGCCAAAGCCCACATGGTACAGTTCTGGGGGTCACTTCCATTTCCCAGGGATCCTTCTTTCCAGAAAACCGCCCAAAACCCCGGGAAAAAATGGCGATCGGTTTTTGAAAAGAAGGATGGCTGAAAAGAATGGAATTGGAAAACTCCTAGAAAAGTGGGAGATTCTGCAATGGCAACACCCCGTTTGGTTGGTATTTGGGTGTGGTCAAAACTTGGTACCCAAAATGGAACCCTGATCCATGGAAAGGACTAAAACTTGCGGTCCAATTCCTGGGGCAATAATTTTGACCCATAATGGTGCTTCATGTTTCATGGTTCGTGGTTCACGGTTTTTTTGTTCGACCGGGACCATATCCTGGAGAGACACACCCCCAGTACTGCAAGTGGCGTCGTCATCTTAAGTGAGACTGCGTCGCTTTCATGGCCCGCCCGACGAAAGGGCGAGTTGCCTCAGTATGGGCGTCTCGTCTTTTTTGGAGTTGGACAACCGCCTCTTTTGTGGTTTAAAAAGGGACACCAAAAAGAACATCGGTCCCCTAAAAAGGGACCGGTGTTTTTTTTTCTAGCCCCGGCTCGGGGCTTAGGAGGCTGGTTGGTTGGTTGGTTGGTTGGATGGTTGGTTGGTTGGTTGGTTGGTTGGTTGGTTGGTGGTTGGTTGGTTGGTTGGTTGGTTGGTTGGTTGGTTGGTTGGTTGGTTGGGCGGCCGCATCCCCGGCATCCCCAGCATTTCTGGTTTCTTGTCAGGGCTGCGTATTGGTAGTTGACAGTTGCTCGGGCTGGCTGGTCGCATCGCCAGCATTACTGGCCTCACTCGGACTAGAGCTGCCTATTGGCAAACCCTGAACTGCCACAAAATCAAAGCCAATAGGCAGCTCTAGTCACTCGCGAGTGAGGCCAGTAATGCTAGCGATGCGGCCGGCTAGCCCGAGCAACTGCCAGCCACCGTCAAGTCATGCCCAATACGCAGCCCTGACACGAAACCGGACATGCTGGGGATGCTGGGGATGCGGCCATCAACCCCAGCCAACCTCTTTGGAGTGAGGCCTTGTGCTGAGCCGGGGCTAGTAAAAAGCCGGGGCTAGTTCAAAAGAAAACACCTCAACCCCTACAAAGAGACAGATCCATATCTTGTGTAGCATGGGAAGCTTGTCGGCGGCTTCGATAATACAGTGAAAACTGCTGACCTGTGCAACTGGGTGTCCAAATCGGGTTCTGCTTCAACTTTCTGCAGAGAGCGCAAGCAGGCCGACCGAACGCCCCAGTGTTTTTTTGTTTTAAATGCAAGACCTTACTTGCGGTTGGTTTTTGAGAAACTCTCAGACCGTGACCAGTTGTAAGGGTCAGTCACGAAGACATGACCCATGCTACTGTGGATGGACGAAATCCATTTCGCCCACCCAAGAAACCAACTGGCTTCTGATTCGATTCCCCAACGTAACTACCAGCAACTGGTGTATGGTGTCTTAGGTGGTGCGAAGTTTGGATGTCGCGGCCATCCACATGGGCAGGGCATTGCTCTTCGGGGAATCGGGGACCGTTGGTTTCCTCATGGTTTGTTTTCATGCATTAGGAAGGGGCCCTCCCTTTAGGCAAGCCCAAGCAGAATTAGCCAGGGCAAGAGTAGGCAGTTGCAGGTCCCCAATCTGGGATACACGTGCAACCACTTACTTGCACATGACGCATATGCATTTACCCCGCCTCCTTGCATTGGATTCTTTTTTTTCAAAGGCAACTGGAAGACAACTTTTCGCTTAGAGGGCCTTCTGTCTCGCTGCATGTTAGTGGACATATATATATATATACATACTTGCAATAACTTCTGTACATGTACTGAGGGACAATGCACATGTATACATACGCTTGCCTATCTGGGCAAGTGGTAACGACCTCGCAGCCCTGCAACCCGGTCCAGATGAAGGCTCCTTGCCCGCGGCTCCCTTATTTCAGGAGTGCGTGTGTTTCTTGTTTTGTTGTTGTTCACTTGTGGATACGTAATACATACACACATGTATATGTATGCTACCCCCCCCTGGTGCGCAGGCTGTAGAGTTTTGACTATTAGTTTGCAGCAGGTGGGACCGTTTTGCTCGGTTTGAACAGAAAGGCTGCAGTGTTTAAACTATTTTTGCAGCAGACTTACGCAGAGACACGCAAGCTTGCAGTCCATCCACAATGTGCATTTCATCTAGTTTTGGACAGAGAGCAATTCCTTTGCACAATTCCAAGAAAACAAGCCTTCCAGGCAAACAAGTAGCAATTAGACGCCTCTGGAAATTGCAGAAACTTGACCCACACAAGGACAATTAGATACTCCTTGCGCAACAATATCTAGAAGGAAGGTGGCCAGGAATGTTCGCACAGCAAATTGGCCATGGGGCATAAATAACCTATGGCTCCATTTTGGGGTGGATGAACATCCATTTGCCTCACCAGCAAATTAGCTGCGTTGTTGTGCACAGAACATGGCTCTTTCTGGCGATATCTTTCTGGACGGTGCTCTTGGCTTGAGCACCTGAGATGAAGGCTGACGCTGCTTGTGACTCCCGGATTCGTGAGAAATCGGGGACCGTTTCCTGGGGGCGCTTTCATCTCTTTGCGTTCCATTCTCGCGATCCAGTTCTCTGAGCAACTTCCGATCCAGTTCTCGGGGCAACAAGAACGCGTCTCTTTTTCGGGGAAGTCACCCCAGGAAACCGACATCTGAATCTTGACTCAGTGCCATGTCAGTCTGAGACTGTGTGAAAGGCGCCGTTCTACTCCGGTTTCGGAGAGAAAGCAATGCCATTGCAGCAATAAGAGAGAACACACGTTCCGAAGGAGGTTTGGGGATCCCTGAAAACAAGGGACAGCATCGGACTTTGGAAGTGGACCGCTTGACAGCCTCCGCCCGCAAAGAAATCAACACACACACATATATATATATATATATATATATAAATACATACGTATGTATATATATATATATATAGAGATCTACACACGGAACCCACAAGCACACACACACTTATCCCCACATCTATACAGATATACATATCATACTTACACCTGCAAGTCGTGGGTGCCAGGAGTACCGCGCCATCTGTTGCGGCCACGTGGGCGTGGCGGGGGCCCGCTTCGCCATCGATGAGCCCTTGGACGGCAAGGCAGCGCACACGGATGTGGAGGTAATGAAGGCGAGGGCAACCGTTTCCAGGGCCATTCCTCTGCCCCAGGAGAAAATCGGGGGGGTGTGGGGGAGGGGGGGTTTACCCCAAAACCACTGTTTTGTTTTTTTGCGGGGGGGTAATCAAGGGTCCTACTTACCCCAACACCACTGGTGACTGAGTTGTGCCCAACATCTGTCTTGCCATGTGCTGCAAGATGATGTTATCGACACATTTGGGCAAAAATGACGCGTCGCAACAGGACGACTGTACTCAGGGGACGTTCTAATAAACGGGTTCTGATTGAGAACTACAGTACGAATCAGGGGGTGGTTCCGTTCTATTGGAGATTGATACGTTTCAGCCGATGCCTCTCATTACTCAAGCCAATGGCAGCGTTCTGCAGAAAAGAGGTCTGCACACATTGTGTGCAGTTTCTCCTGCCGGACAGTTGTCAGATTCGAATCTGACTTGTTTGTGGGACAACTGGGGACCATGACGGTGCTCCAGGGACAATTCACAACGGCCGGGGGTTTCAAGAGATGAGTTTGGACATCGCGTGGCTATGCGTATAACTGTGTGACACTGTGTGTGACGTTGAATGGGTCACTGATTGCTCATTCAGCTCGATGAAGCTTGGACACCTCACTCACAGCTAACGGCGAAATGTGCCCACTCCGCTCGTGATTTGAACCCTCCAAAGCAGTTGTCTAGTTCAATGTAATTCAATTCTGTTGGTGTGCTGTTTTTGTACCAAACAGAATGCTCTCTTTTCGGTGAGTGACGCAGGCGTCATCACTGAACAGGACTTTGTTTTTTTACATCACTACTAAGTTCTGTTCAACACGATCCATTTGCCTAAAAACGTTTGTTTCCGCCTGTTGGTTTTAAAGGGAATCTATCACGTGGATATATTTCTAGTTTTTCCAGGGGACTTGAGCAAATGGAAGACACCATGTCGACGCGGCCCTGCTTTCGAAACATCTGACTTCCAATAGCAAGCTGGAGTCCGTGCATGGTCCGAAATCCTGCATGACTTGGCCCGCATGGGGTGTGTCATCAAGCTAAGGGTTTGAAGACTGACCTGGGCCCCTTTTGTCGTGAGCCATGCCTATCCATTTCACATCAAGTTCTTCAAGATTCCTTTGACCCCTGGTTGTGTTCAACCAGCCCCAAAAGTGGTCTTTTCTATTTTCAACCATCCTTTTTCAACCATCCCAGGTTGAGAGAGAGAGAGAGAGCCGCATCCTTTTCGCGTTTTGCAGGTGGCGCCCTGTCCTCACTGGGGTGCCATTAGCATGCTGCATGGCGGATAGGGGCTGAAGGGCCGGGGTGGCCACAGGGGTACCAAGGGGAAACGGTTGAGAGCTAAAAACCCGCCATGGCCCATGGAAAAAGGGAATTCGTCGGCTTGACGTTGCGACCCTTAAACTCACCTCTTGTGGGCGAGTTGAAGCATCATGTGGTGGTTTTCCAGAATCTCCACGTGTTTTTTGACAGTTTTCCCGCAGTTGTCACACATCATGAGGAGTCTTCACACTGCCATCCCTCTGTTTCCACAATCTCCACGGTGGGAACTTGAGGACATATACTGCATGTCCGCACCGCGGCTCGGCCTTGGTGTGCCCTGATTTGCGGTCCAAGATCGAGCCAAGCAAGCAATGGGCATAGATCGCAACTGGTCAAGCATTTGGCTGTGGGTCAAAACCAATGGGATCCCATTTTGGGGTGGGCGCACCACCCATTTTAGAACCTATTTTAGCGGGGATTGGGATGGTCACTGGGATTTTGACCCATGGCCAGGTCAATCATTTTTCGTCTTCCCCCTGAACGCAGTCTCCCATGTCCCAATGAGCCACGCGTGGCGATAGCTCCGACGAGCCTGCGGCCCATCTCAAAACGACCACGAATACTCCGCACTGGTGGAGTACATGTCCCACGCCCATTCTTCGGCCCTGCATCACAGGCATCTAAAAATGGGCAAGAGAACATTCTGTGCAAGAATCAAGAAGTTGACCCAGTGATTCCATTTCTCGTTACAGTAGGCAACCAAGGGGGCACACACACACAGCAGGCGTATGCTGCTTGATGTCGCACTCTGGATTCGAACCACTTTGTCACATTTCAAAGGCCACGGGCTACTTGCAACCATGGCCTGATCAAGTCATGGGCAAAGAGCACCCTTTGGGAGCATATGAGGGGTAAACGGCCGACATGTTTCTCCCGTGATGTCTGCTGGCTTCCCGACTAAAACTCGTCCACCCACCAAGAAGGGCACTGAACTAGTGGCACCAACTATTTTTCCCTTTTTGTTTGATGGCTTCCCCACTAAAGGAGACTAACATTGGCTCAAAACCCCACCCATACCCTGCGAACACGGCAGTCCGCAGGTCCCAGAATCGTGCACTTCCACGTTGGCGGAGGGTAAGGCCCTGCTCTATATTTTGACAACCCCGAATCCCACTTCAATCGTGCACGCCCCACATCACCCCGTTACGGATGTTGCAGTCGGTTTGAAGAGGTTGTATCTTGAGGGCGTTTCAACAATACTGCTTGAGGCCCGGTGGTGTCCCTTGAAGGATTTCTTGCTAAACTCAGTGATAAGGGCAGGGCCCTTCTGATTTGCCTGCAAATGGAGCCATGGTTGTTTAGAGTCGATCTTGCCCGCCCCTGGTAGTTCGGGGCTTCCCCAAGAGGGGTTTGCCTCAGAACCCCAAGAACCTCCGTTGGCTTCCCCGGGTGGCCATGAAATGGCAAAAGAGGTTGGGCGATGTCCTTAAGATTCATACCCAGGTGACAGGAAAGATAGAAAATTTGCAAACCTCCCACCAACAGTTCGAAGATTTCCTGTAGCATTTTTTGCCTTGTGGGTTTCCCTAAACAACCCGCCAAAAACTGGGGTTGTCCAACTCCAAGAAAAAAAAGATGAGACACCCATTGGGTGTCTCAGATACTCAAATGTGTCGAAATGAACAGAAAACAACAATCCAGATAAGATCAACAAATCCAATCAATTCTTAACCACAATCAACAACAAATTATTGTAACTTATTATATTTAACTTATTGTAACCACCTCAATTTTTAACAAGAATTATAACCGCCCCAAAAGCCGCAGCGCCCTTCGCGTGATTCGCGCTTTCGATCGCTTTCGAAGGCTGCGGCTGTGGCCCAAGACCGGGCGCCGGCGCCAGCTGCGGCGGCACCTGGCGCAGCTTGGGGCACCCATTGTCAACGAGGAGCCAAGACTCGGCGGGTCGGTCGTGGTCGGCTTTGAAACGGCGAAGAAAACACGTGGAATCCACCAACCCCCGTTCTTTGAAGAGAAGCACCTTGGCAATTTGAAGTGGCAACATGTGTGTTTAACATGTTAAAAACCATTGGACATGTGGTGTTGCAACATGTGTTTGAATCACTTGCGGGGGTGGTTTTTCCTTAATACAAGTTGCTTGATCATAGCCCCTTAGGCAGACTCCCAAAAGACTTTGTTTTGGAAAATGCAGTTGGTTCCAGTGGCTCCAGTGGTTCCAGTTGTTTCGACTCGAGTTTGTTCTCCAAAATGCAGTTGGTTCCAGTGGTTCCAGAGGTTCCTGTTGGTTTAAGCGTAAGCTCCTTTGGTTGGTTTCCAGGTTTTGGAAAATGGGTTTCTTCGGCAGACTCCTTCCAAAGCCCTATTGGTTAAACCAGTTTTCTTAGACTCCGAAACCACCAGAAAATGGGTTCTGGTTCCGGTAAACCTTTTTGGTTCCATCCAGCTACCCATCGGTTAGCGGGCGTTTTGGCAAACTCCTTTTGGTTCCGTTGGGTTTTTGATTCCAGTGGCTCAAGCACGCGCGCGCAGCGGCCAGGACGAAGGCCACCCGAGCCGCGAAGCTCGGTCGATCGGGGCGGGGAACGCTCGGATGGATCGGAGGGCGTTGGGTGGAGAAGCTCGGGCCTGGGGGTGGGCGACAATTCACACCATATCTTTGGAGCTGGAGTTGGACCCACAAAAACCTGGGAGCTTTGGTGCATGTTGCCAAGGGATGTCAGGACTGAATAACTTTTTATGCCAACTCATGGGTTTTCCGAGTTAAACCATCAAGAGATAGTCACTTTTAGCAGGGGAGCAGAAAGCAACCGAGATATGTAGGGTATTGGCCAAAGTACTGAAAAATGGAAACATGAAAATTTCAAGCCAGGATATGGGCCGCAGGGTTTTAGTCCATGTTTTCATTCGAGTTGCATTTGGGTCATGACCTATTGCAGCGCCTCCGGCCTGGTTCCGCCGCCCCCGTAGGGCTCAGAAGGCTTTCTTTAGAAATCAAGTAATCAGACAAAACAAAGGGGATGAAGGAAGAGAGACTCCACCTGTCCTGTCCATCCCTTCGCATTCCAGTATAAGTCTCATAATTATTTTTCATTCTAGGAAATGAAGAAAGGGTCAGACAACAAACAGAGTTAGATAATGGTGCTAAAGGTTATGGGGAGAAAACAGTTAACTGGAAATACGAAAGAGGACCTATCCTTTCCATACGCTAGGGGTGCACAAGGCGAGCTGGAGAAGAGCTCGGATGGTGATGGTGAAAAAATGGATCAGGATGAGAATGATGATGAATATGATAAAGAAAACAACAACATGATGATGAGGATGATGATGATAATCCTAATGATGAGAATGATGATGGAAATGATGATGTACATGATGATGGACATGATGATGAACATGATGATGAAAATTATGATGATGATGATGATGATGATGATGATGATGAGAATGATGATGAACATGATGATGGAAATGATGATGTACATGATGATGGGCATGATGACAAACATGATGATGAAACTGATGATGATGAAAATGATGATGATGAGAATGATGATGTACATGATGATGTACATGATGATGTACATGATGATGGACATGATGATGCACATGATGATGCACATGATGCAGATGATGATGATTATGAACATGATGACGATAATGATGATGGACATGATGTCGAAAATGAATGATGGACATGATGATGCACATGATGCAGATGATGATGATGATGATGATGATGATGATGGAAATGATGATGAGCATGATGATGAAAATGATGATGTACATGATGATGGACATGATGATGATCATGATGATAAACATGATGATGAACATGATGATAATGATGAACAGTGAACATGATGATGAACATGATGATGAACATGATGCAGAGGATGATGATCATGATGATCATGATGATGATGGAAATGATGGACGTGATGAAATACATGATGGACATGATGATGAACATGATGCAGATTATGATGAACATAATCCTGTATCAGGTTGGAAGGCTTGGGTTTACAGGCTTCATTCTGCAAGGAGTGTATTGGATCATGCGGGGCCTTTTGGCTCAAGCATGATCCAAACTGGCTAAATTTTAACTTCTGGTTTGCGGGTTCGGCAAGTGTTACTTGTCGAATGTTGGCAGTTCCAGGAGTTGACTTTGCCGTGCACACGGATCGTCCTATCCTGTCCACAGGCGCCTACCTCGACTTCAAGCGCCATGTGGGCAACTTGCTGGAGCAGGGGAATCATGGCAAGGCCCGGATGCTCTGGCTTTCGGCTGTGGAAGTTTTGCATGCCCCTTTCGTGCAAGCTCCCCTGCCCTTGGTTGATAGTGGGGAGATACCCCACCTGCAATTTGCACCCTGCATTGATGCCCAGTGTGCAAGATGTGACGGGTCCCTTGGCGGCTTCAAGTTCCCGTTCATTGGCACCTGGTGCCGGCGTGCAGTCTTGGTTCAAGAAGGTGCATCTGCAGAGGAGGCTTGGGCCGCCTATCATGGGTGCTATGAGGAGGATCGCCTGTCTGAGGCCATGGTGGCTGAAGCAGGCAGTGGCCGCCATTGCGGGCCGGGTGGAATCTGGCGACCTCCCCTTCGTGTCCTTCAGGGGCTTCATGGGGACCTGGCGGAGATGGAGCTTGGGCGCTCGGAGGTGGACCGAGCCATGGCCCAGGGAGAGCGACTCCCTGGCCAGAGCCACAGCGGGGAGGCTTCTCTGTGGGTGGCTGGACGAGGGCAGGAGGAACCTCCCTCTGGGCGGGCTTTGCGCCTACTGCGGAAGCAGGACTCACTCTGTGTGCGCTTCATGTGGCATCCATCAATGCGAAGCCTGCCCCATCCGCTGCTGCCAAGGCTCTACGCTGGGGGGCGCTGCTCTTAGCCATGGCGTTTCGCGGTGACGCCACTCCTGGGCGCTATGCCACTGAAGCCATGGAGCACTCCGGGGGCGACCCGGGCGGCTCTGGCGAAGGGCTGATGTCTCGTGTCCAGGAGGCCAATGTTCGAGCCTTTCGGCAGAAGCACGGGCTGCTGCAGGACTCCGACTTCGGCTTCGCCTTTGAGGCCTTCGAGGATGCGGTCCGCGCAGGTGGCCACTTCGTCGCCGCTGAATGGGCGCGGGTGCGGGCGGAGCAACAGGCTCACCTCCTCCCGGCAGGCGCGGCAGTGGTGGAGGCGGACCCCTGGCGAGTGACGCCGGTGGGGCCATCGACCCTCCGTCGGCCGGCGGTGCGGCTCCCCACAAGCAACGTGGGCCTGCGGTTGAGGCAGAACCCGGACAACGCCGAAGCGGTTGGCCGCAGGGTCAACCTGCTGACGGAGGCCTTCATGAAGCTGGGCGTCCTTCGGCCCCGGAGGTGCGACGACCCGAAGCGCTATGCCGACTGGCAGCAAGCGGTTCGGAGGCTGGCTCAGGAACGAGTCACCCAGTCCGAGGCGACCACGATCCTGAACGCGGTGAGGACGTTCCAGGAGCTCTCACTCTTCCTCGCAGCCAGGGGCGTGCAGGACCCGGAGGAGTTGGACTTTCACGCCTTCCTTGAGCAGGCTATGTCGCCATCGCGAGCGCTGCAGTCATTGCGCTGGTTGTCCAACAACGGCAGGTTGCAGTGGCAGCTGGACCGCCTGAAGCCCCCCAAAGTTATTGGGAAGGTGCGCAAGGCGAGGTCCCAGGCCGTGGTGGTGGAACCGCCCGTGCTGCTCACCCTGGAGGGCCGGATCATCGAGATGCAGCATGCCCGAGATCCAGCTTGGACAGCAGCACTGTCGTCGTGGCTCGTGGCTTCGGGTTGCCTGCGCTACAAGCACCTGTGCTTATCCACGCCGGTGAAGATCAGCAGGGAGTTCTTCCACGGCCACTGCCGCAAAGGGAAGCAGTCCCATAACCGGCAAGGATTCGACTGGTGTGCGCCAGCTCGTTTCTCCAACGGTTGGCATTGGGCCGACAAGTGGCTGGAGGACTATCAGGGGCTAGCGCCGGAGCAGCACGACAAGTGCGGCATCTGCTTTCACCCAGCCTCTGGCCAGGCGTGGCCCATCCGGGAGGTGCAGAGAGTGACTCAGCACCTCTTCCATGGCGTGGTGGAGCCCCTCGAGCAGCTCACCAGCTATTCCTGGAGGAGATTGTTGCCGACGGTGGGCTCTTTGATCCGCCTTCAGGACGCGGAGATCGTTTCCCTGGGAGACTGGCAGGACAAGGTCGAGGAGCGTGTCGCGATGCCGTTCCACTACAGCGGCGGCAAGTACGCCTTGTCCATGCGTACCAAGATGAGAGCCTTCCTCGTGGCGGCCAAGGTCGCGGACTGCGAGGCCTGGGAGACGGTCACCGAGGAGGAGATCGCCGAAGCCGACGAGGAGGCCAAGATCAAGGCCGCTCAGGCTTCACAGAGGTGATCTGGGCCCAGGCACCGCAGACCACGGCGCTGAAGAGGCGTTTCTCCCTGAGCCAGTCGCTCGTGCGCAGCGCCCGTGAGCGAATGAGAAAGCCGGCTCCCTCGGCCAGGGCCATGCTGGGCGAGATCTTCCTCACGGGGCATCTGAAGAACGGTACAGCGTTGTGCCCGGACTTCAACACAGGCGAATGCCGCCAGGACCCGTGCGCAAGGGAGCACTTGTGCGCGATGCTGCAACAGACGGGCAGGGCTTGTGGAGGACGCCGCCCGGCAAGCGAGTGCCGAGCAAAGCGGCGGATGACGGAGGCGAAGCTTCGCGCGCTGGGGCTGCCTGTGCCGGCTGACCCTGTGGAGGTGGGGGCGACCCGCCCCGCAGGGGCGCCATCGGAGGCGCCGGCTCAGAAGCGCCGAAGGATTTTGCCGCCGCCGCTGCCAATCGCCCCGGCCGGGCCCATGTCATCCAGACCGTCGGCCGAGGAGCTCCGCGAGGCCGCAGCGGCCAACCGCGTTGTGGAGGTTGAGGATGCGGAGA